TGTGTGTGTGTGTGTGTGTGTGTGTGTGTGTGTGTGTGTGTGTGTGTGTGTGTGTGTGTGCTAGCGGAGACTATAATGGCAGGTTGGACGAAAGTGTGGGGGGGTGCCCCAAGGAGACAGCGTTATAATATCTCAAGCAACATGGTGGAGAAGAGTAGAGTTGAACCTGGGGGGTTGGAACAATGGACGAGCTAGAAGACGTATCAGAACCAGGCAGTGTCAGGCAGTGTGGAGAGGGAAGGGGGTACCTAGTGACGAGGTCAAACCCAGGGCGACGACGTGTGGCGACGGGCCGTAGTTGGTGGAGGGGGGCCGCAGACAGGCGGTTGCTAAGAGAAATGGGGCTTGGCAGATGGCGTGGACGAAGGTGGCAGAAGGCCGTCAGTCAGACGACTTATGCGCACTTGAGAGCTGCGACAGTAGCGGCGCGGGCGGGCGAGTCGGAGCGCAGTGAAGGGGGGTGGGAGGGGAGAGAAAGGAATTTGATGTGCAATGGCGTCTCGGCACCGATTTGGGGTTGGCAGAGAGAAACAGTGGGTAGGGGACGCCAGTGCTCGGCTTGGCTGTGCCGCTCTGGCCTGGCAAGAATAGTGACTTTTGTGGTAGCGCAGTAATAGCTGGGACGCACGGCGCGCCTGTAATTTAATGCTTACAGCGGTCGTTGTGTGCGAGCGCGTGTGCGTGCTGGCCAAGTGAGAGGGAACGCAGCATTGGCAGACGGCGCCGTCTCACGGTGTTTAGGGCAGCGCCGGACGCGAAACACAATTGCATTGCGCAAGTCAGTATGTGGGCCGCCTGCGTCGGAAGACTTGACGTCGTCGTCGAAGCACAAGCACAAGCAGAAGCAGAAGCACCAAGACCCTGAATTGAGGGCAGCGTCAGCATGTGCCTCTCTTACTACTCCGCTGTGTCCTCTGCGCCAAACACTTGCATGCATGGCGGCCTCGAGTGGGTGCATGTCTAAGTGTCGACTGGAGAGCCAAATGCCTCACTCTGCACGCCCCGTCCTCGTGTTTGATCCTCGGCTCTAGAGTAGAGTAGTGTAGTAGATGCATACGCAGACCCGTATGTCTGGATGTAGCATGTACAACCAACCAACGTACTTGGATACACGGACTCGACCAGCGCAACCTCACCGCTGCCACTCACCGCTCCCTGACAGGCCCATGGATGGATGCGCCCACAAAGTCCCTGGATTTGGGAACCCATCATCTGACAAGTCCGAGGCCGCCGGCCTATCGTTTCACCAACCACGTCTTGTTGTCCAGCTGCGCCCTCGCACGCCGCGCATCAACACGCATTGCCGTGTGGTGCAGTTGCAGGGCTCGATGGAGTCTGGGGCAGCGTGGGGGAGGGTTTTGTTTGGCGTGTCCATGTTTTTCATCCTTGCCGCCGCTGCCAATTTTCACAAGCAACCGCCCCAACCGGCTTGCGGGGGGACACTTGACCTGCTGCTCTCAGTGTCCAACACCATGACCCCTCCATCCAGCATCCATTCATCCGTCTGCGTCTGCGTCTGCGTCTGCGTCTGTCCATCTGCATCTTCATACCACTTGGCTGTATATGCCTCTTCTAGCGTCGCCCTTCCCCGTCAGCCGCTGCAGCCCTGACCGGACATTTTTTTGCCTTTGTGTTACCAAGCCGTCCATGTACGTGTGTGCACTTACACAGTATGTACTTATTACCCCACGTAAGAGCAAACGCACATGGGGCGGTACTTGATACACCCGACTACAACCCCGGCTTCCTCGTTGCAGACAGCCACCCCGAGATAACGCGCTGCATTTATTCCAATGCCCTGGCAATCCGCGACCAGCACCCCGGTGCCCCCAGTGCAACATGACGTAAAGCCAAAGATAAAACATGAACCGTCGTCATTGTCATCATTGTCATCATTGTCATCATCATAATCACCCTATATCTCTTGCTCACGCGTGATGTCCGCTTCCGCTTCTCGCTGCAAAAATAAAAGACTACCTTCCACTCGTCAGCATGCATAGCCCCACGTGTACAGCAAAAAGTGTGGAGTAGCTCGTCACCTACCCCTGTTCCACCAACATAATGCCGTCTACTATGTACAAGCGTTGCCGTACTTCCCTGCTCAGCCACACGGTATTTCCTTTCGGGACACGGATCAAAGTGCTCCTGACGCAACTGCAACCATGGTCGGACGTGTGTTTGCGTGCAGAACAGAGCAGCATCATCTTGTTGAACAGGTAAACAGTGCAAACAAACAAGCAAATACAGTTCATGAGATTGCATGCCGCGCAAAACAAGCAAGCCAGCAAAACATGTGCACGTTCCTTCCTATCTAGCAGTTACACTACACTACACTACACATGCACATGCATCCTCTCCTTCCCCTCACTAGCCACACGTCAACACAATCACAAAATATACGCGCGCACAGACCCTTTTTCGCTCATTGTCCAAGCATCCATCTTCCCTACTCCCAAAAAACCCTTCGGCTTCTTCAACTAACCATTAGTCTCCAACACACTTGTATCCGCTTCTCTCCCCGACCACTTGCCGGACCGTACCAAATATCATTCTCACCCCCCCCCCAAAAAAACAAATGATCATCCTCCTTGGCAATATCTAACCTTTGCGCGCACAACCGTCCGCTCAAGTCCGCTCATTGAGACTCGACAAAGCCAAGTCAAGCCAAGCCTACCCAAAACTTTATGCTTTCTCTCTCTCCCATATTTTTTTTGGCTGTCCTTTTGCATCTACATACATAGTTTAATTTTGATATTGCGCGCGCGCATCCCCCGGGACCTCCTCTCCTGTTACTCTCTTTCTTTTTGAAAAAAAAATCGTCGGCAAGTCCCGGAAATACTTGGAACAAACATCTACACACTGCCCCACACGCAACGCACTTTTTTTTTTTGCATTTTGCTTAACGGAAAGAACTTTTTGCCAAGATGCATATTCAACGCTACTACCAAGTGTACAATGACACATGTACGAATTCTATTTTCTGAATTGCATACATGTGTTTTGTACTGAGTCGATGAAGAATCTTCTAAAAATAAGGGGAAAGGGGAAGGGGGCTTATACAAGTAAGAACAGCCGTCATGATAATAGTAAACTATTTGCAGTAGATACATACCAAAAAAGATTAATAGTAGTTATTCCATGCTAAATCCAGTTGCCGATTCATGCATCATCCCTTCTCGTCCTCGTTTCAGATGTCAGATTCAAACAAAATAAGACCGATATATGTACCGTACAGAAACACCCCCCCCTGCCCCTAGCATTCCAGTACCAACTCCCTCTCCCACTTCTCCCTCACAAACCGCACTGTCCGTGCAAATACCGCCTCGCGCTCACGTGCCTCATGCTCCGGCACAAATGCATTGGGGAACTGCGTCCACCCATGCCTGCAACCCGGTGCGTGCCAAATCTCTAGTCCGGCATTCTTGGCATTGGATGCATTCGAGCACGACTCTTGGCCTTCACTATCACCACCCGTGGCACCGTCCCAATCGCCTGCTCGGCCATCGCCAAAGCGTACAGGGCCCGTCCAGTTGCTACTATTCATCTTGTCAACCCACACATCGCTCTGCACCGCTAGCGAATCCTTCTCCGGTAGCACAAGAAAAATAGCCGCGTTCTTTTGGATATACTCTGGGTCGTTGAGACCGGGGCTAGCACGAGGATGCGCCCGTAGTTTCTTGGGCAGGTACGTTGGTCCCAAGATAGAGAATAGACCTGGTTGTCTTGGCTTCTCAACGTGGTGGTCGTCTGGTTTGAGTGCACTCGGCATGGGCTTCCTGGGGCGTTCGTGGGGCAGCAGCCGTGCATCGAGAGATGGGTAGAAGAGTAGCAGTGGGAGCAGTCGTGGTTGCACTTCGGGCGGTGGGAGGGGCGACGGCCATGACTGGAATGGATCGTCTAGGATTGTTGCTCTGCGGTTTGTCGGAAGGGTCGGCGACATGCAATCGTGATCCGCAGGCCCGAGTGTTTGTGATTCCATCATTCCCATTTGCGGACAGGGCGGAACCGATATCGCCATGTTGAGCGCGATGTTGCCTCCGGCTGAGAAGCCGGATATCGCCAGGTGCGTGGGATCAAGCACTATATCCGTGACCTGCTCAATGTGTTGAAGGACCGGCTCGTTTTTGTTCTTTCCCTCCAGCACATTCGTCCGTACCATGGAGTAGTATCTCTGCACCTCTTGTCGCAGGACCTTGCCTGCCTCTGATGTCCCGCTCGTATCCAGAATCGCAGATAACACATCCTCTGCATCGTGAATCGCCGCGGGAAACTGGTGGAACGGTCCGATGCGATATGACACGCTCAGCACTATGGCCCCAAGCTCACGCGACATCATCGACGCATACGGTGCCTGTTCCAGCGGCGATCCCATGATGAAGCCGCCTCCATGTACTACAACACGCACCTAGAGTCAGCATACTTGCCACAAGTATCCTGGGGTACATAGGTCCTACACACAGTCCAAAACAACTGGTACATGCCATTCGCCCGTCTCTTTCCGCTGCTCCTCACTCTCAGCATCCGCGTCCACCGGTGCCGGCGGCACAAATGTGTACGCGTAGATGAGATGTCCCTTGCGGCTCGGCAGCGCAATCAGGAATGGGTGCGGACCCTTCGGCGATGTCAGGTGCAGGATAGATAACGGCACGAAGCGCGGGAGTTGTACGAGCGCCGTCCGCCATTGGATGTGGAATGGGAGCCGGAAAAAATACGCGATCGAGTGCCAGAAGCTGCCCATCGTGGTGGCTGCATAGGGATGAGTTGCGCGATGCTCAGAGCATGCTGCGCGAGGTTCGTCCGAGGGCGAGAAAAGGTGCGCTGTGAGTGCTGAGTGAGCAGTCGCCTACGTACGACGTAGATAGGCGAAGCATAGCGTGTCCAAGCTGCCCAGATTGAGGGCGCTGAAGAAAGGCGGATTCGTGACGTCAGTTCATGAACGATGTCATCCACAATCGCCATTACAAGGCGGAAAACATCAATAGTAGTGTTTAGTATGCCCCTGCTAGCTGGGCTAGTAAAGCTTCAACGGGCGAAGCTTTGCAAGGATGACTGATAGTGCCGAGGCAGAGCACAACTTCTTCATTAGAAGTGAACCCCCTTTGGCACTTTATGTGGTCCCATCCATTTCGTAGAATTAATAAGTATCTAACCTGACCACACTGCAAATACACTTGCAACCAATAAAGCTCCACAATCCTGCATCTACCACTCACCTTTTGGTGGCTAGATACGAACAAAATACTTCTTCCATGTGCGCATCGACACTATAGCATCAGCATGCATACTGGCGTCTGGTATGACGGAACTTCTAACGGCACAAGCATGGCACAGAAATCCTTCCATCTTTGCACCTTCATCCTTGTAACTCACAATCACACAATGCTCATTCATCGGCTTCTCCATATGTAATTGGCATTTTGTCTACGTGGACAGGCTACTATAGTCTCCTTCACACAAATGACCGCATGATCCGCTCCTGCTGAAATCCTTTTGTGAAATCCCCATAAAAGAGATGCTGTTACCGCACCATGTCGTGAAGCTTCAACCATGAGCCCATCAAGTACAGTCAGGAATGTGCCGCATCAATATGGCTGTCGAGCACAGTTGAAGAGTGCGCAAGCTGTAGGGTACCTCGTGATAGCTCACCAAGACGCAACCTTGTTGTCAGCATCTGCAGAGAAGCCCTCACCATCAAAGCCCCCAGCACTGCCAAAGCTAGCAGCTGCCTCGTTACCGAAGGTGGCACCAACGTCAAATCCGCCAGCTTCTCCGCTAAAACCACCACCAAGGCCATCGTCAGACTCTTCGTCAGTGCCATCATGCCACTCAATCGCCGACAGGTTTTGAGGCTTGAACTCCTCAAGGAAGTCGCTCACCTCCTGCTCCGATTCTATGAGAACCTTGACCAGATCTTCAGCAATATCCTTGTTGTCGTCGTTGAAGAAAGAGGTGGCTTTCCCTTCGTTGCCAATACGCGCGGTGCGGCCAATGCGATGAACGTACTCGGTGATGCCACCGTGCTGGCCTGAGGGTAGGTCGTAGTTGATGACATGCTTAACGTTGGCGACATCGAGACCACGAGCAGTGACACCGGTAGCGACTAGAATAGGACAACGGCCAGTCCGGAACGAACGACTATTCATACTTTTAGTAGCAGTTCATTTCAGCTAGGCAGTGAGTACTTACAGAGCATCCTCGCGCTCACGCTGAGTGCGATCTGAGTGGATCGAAGTGACGGGCAAGCCTTTATTGTACAGATAGTCGTCGACCTTATCGCATTTGTACTTAGTGTTGACGAAGATGAGGGAACGCTGTGGGCCACCAGAGAAGAGCAAATCGAAGAGCGCCTCGTCCTTATCAGTGTCCTCAACGAAGCGAATCTCCTGCTTGATGTTGCGATGGGTGCTACCGACCCTTCCTACTTTGATTCGAACAAAGTCTTCTTCCATGTACTCCTTGGCAAGCCTACGAGCTGCTTTGGAGAAAGTAGCAGAGAGCATGATAATGGTATGATCCGCATCGGAGTTGACGTCTGCAACAATCGTCAGCAAGTAGAAAATAAAAAGAGTTGGTGAATCATACCAGTACCCGAGAACACTTTCTCCATGGCTTCCTCCCAGCCACTCGAAAGCAACTCGTCAGCTTCGTCGATGACGGTGAACCTGTGAGCTTGTTAATGCATAAATTTTATGAACAGTAATCTAGTTGGCGTACTTGAGGCGACGGAGTGAAAGGAGATTAATATTCTGCATAAAGTCCATGAGACGTCCTGGAGTGGCAATGAGGATGTCACAGCCCATCTCGAGCTGCTCGCGCTGATTTCTCGTAGGAGCACCTCCATACACAACGCAAGGGCGCAACATTGTACGGTAGCACAGGCGACGAGTCAGGTCGAACGTCTGAGTAGCGAGCTCACGAGTAGGACACACAACCAGTACCAGAGGCTCGGCACGAACCCGGTCTGTAAGAGGGTTGTAGCGGGCTGGGTTGGGTCGAGGTGCCGCCAACTGGCGAGCCTTACCCATGAGTTTTGAGAGGATGGGAATTAGGAATGCAGCCGTCTTTCCAGATCCTGAGCACTGTCAACGATGTTTCGAGTAATATAATGCTGACGATACTTACCAGTCTGCGCAATAGCGACCACGTCGTTCCCAGTCAGAATGGATGGGATGCAATACGACTGGATAGGAGTTGGCGCACCATACTGGCACAACTTGACATTCTCAAGCATGATCGGGTGCAAACCGGCATCCTCAAACTACACCAATGATTAGTACAGATTGTTGAAGTGAGATGGGATATTTTACGTTGCGAACAGGGTTGATCTTAGTAGGGCCTTGAACAGTGACTTCGAATGAGAGAGCGCTGATCGCACTGCCGGCACGCTGCAGATACTCATCCTGGAAAAGCATCTTCTCCAGCTCAGGATTGGGCTCACCAACATCGCCAAAGTCATCATCCCACTGATAGACGGCGGCATCTGACAGCCAGGGAGCGGTGTCGCGAGTCTCGTCTGCAGCAGGCGTGCCTCCGACAACAGTGTCATACCGGAAGGGGATTGGGTTAGTCCATCCAGCCTCTTTGGCACGGGCAAGATCCTTTGCCAGCTGCTCCGCGCGGTCTGCAGCAGCGCCAGTAACGGTATCAGGCGGATCTGTGTTAGACATGTTGGCAATGGTAGGTAGTATAGTGGTGGTGCTGGGAGCGAGACAGCAGTTGAGGGACAAGTAAGAAGTTTATTATGGTGTAAGTGAGGTGAGTAAGTGAGTAGGAGATTACAAACAGTTGTTTGCCCAGTGTATACTGAAATGGTAGGCACTGCGTCACCGAGTGGCTTGGCACGATCCTACCTGCAGACCTTGCCGGCGACGACGGGGACAAGTGAGATACCAGCTGCTTTAGTTGATGAGGTGAGAGAGTATTAGGTGAATTCAGATATGCATGGATAGTCTGTGGTGGTCATATGCCGGATAGGTGGGCATTGAGGCTCTGTGAGGCAACTTTCCGCACGAGCAATGAAGAACTGAAGAATGCAACCATTTAACATACGCATGCCTATAAAATAGAGTCATGAGGTAAGGCGTGAGTATTTTTACATGCTGATCTATACTGTGAGACCCCTGAGGATAGCATGAAAATTCTTCTGTTATTACATGCAACGAGAGCGTCTCCTGTACCGGCACTACGTGACAAGCGGCATAACAATCGTCAATATGCAAATGTCAGAACTGTCATACTTGCTTAATTATACAGCCCTGAAGAGCGATATATAGTATTTATCAAATACAAGTCAATAAGAATATCAAGGCCCACAAATAGCGCAGAAGTACACTGCAAGCCTTGGTAGTCTCAAAGCGATACTGATCGAAGCAAAAAACCGCATTTAAACTAAAAAAATATCCTGTAATCTACACAACCAACAGGCCAATATAATTTTTGTTCCAAATTTAGCTGCATATTATGATCAGTCCCTAAGGGGGTTTCGTACACAAAGAAATGCGATCTAATTAGCTCTGAGAATCTCAACGCTCATAGGCCGTACAGCTATGCCAATATATCAGAAATTCCGTAGTATTTGGATAGCGTCTAGTCACGTAACAAACACTAGAATCTCCGCTAATCCAGCCAGCGCGAAACCCAGCTCAAAAAACGAGCCAAAAAACAAACAAGAAAGCCAACCAAAGAACCACCCAGAAAACAAGTCAGAGAACAAGTAAACAAGCAACAGGAAGGATTCTCTCCTTGACTCCAGACATGAAAGCAAGAGATGCACGGTTGGAGATCGTGGCCTACAGAGGTCTGCGTCAGAAGGTACTGATCATTACGGGGCGGACAGATTACGTGTTGTGCCATCAGGAGTGGATACAACCATCAGTAATGGCAGACAGGAGTCCAGTGGCAGGACTGGAAGCAATAAGGATATAAGGATAGATAGATTGCATTATCACTCTCGCTATAGTCAACTTGAGTTGTACTTTTTTCTTAGTTACTTTATATAACAAGAATGTCACTTGTTAGTCTATAGCGATGTAGGCTAGTTACTGCTAAACCCCCGCTATTCTTGCGCACGCCACTCTACCGAATTGCTAGACAAAACTCACTGCATACCTTGTAATTGCCTTGCTCCAATCCAGACCGAGATAGAGAAGTATATCGCAACCCCGTGTAACAAGTTAAAAAACCAGCTCTCTACAGAAGCTGTTAGAGTTATATGTTTTGTTTTAATCGTTTGTATTGTATGATACGGAGGGCTATCTGGAGTGGCTGGATACAATTGCTTGGAAATTGGCTGCAGTCGTCAATCAAGGGGAAAAATCCAAGAAAGCTTCTTCGACACTCAAACTCAAAAACTCCTTTCTGCAGTCGCAGAAAATAGAAAAGGAATTATTTTTGATACTGAGTTAATCTGCATAAAATGTTATGTACAAAGGGACGTGGCTGGCTTCACATGTCTCATGCCTACGTCATTGCCTCCTTGCTCGTGCACGCGACCTCGCAGCTGATCTTGTTTATCTCAACTGGGGTACCCACCCATCTGGACTACCTCAGATTCCCAGAAAAACAACCCCAAACTTCGATATACCCCTCTCAACCATGAACGACCCCGGGCTCGATGAACCGGCGCAAGAAGCCGCCCAGGATGTCGAAAATAAAATGCAAGCCGAAGATGAGCAGGCTGAGCGCGAGGAACGGGAGTATCTTGATCCAAGTTATGTAACCAGTATTGTTATAACTACGTATTCGCTGTTTGATTTAGGCTAACCGAGTAAACAGTCGATGGTGGTTTGCATCCACAGCAAGTCCACTCATAGCAGGAACCTTTGGTCCAGTTGCAAACGGCATGTCCATCTGCGCCCTGGTTGAAAAGTGGCGCGTATACATCCCACCCGGCAGCGATGAGGCCCACGGAACCAAAATCGCAGATCCTAAGTGGCTCATTGCGGTGAACTCGGTATCTCTCATATTTGCCCTATCGGCAAATGCCAGTCTACTGCTCAACATGTCGAGAAGACTCAAATTCGCTATTGCGCAACCCATTACCATCATTGGGTTTTATATGGCTAGCTTTCTGCTCATAGCGCTGGTTGGAGTGGCTTCGTCATCGGTCTTTCGTATTCAGCCTATGCAGCAGCATGCACTGAGCCAGGCTTTTTACTATGCGATTATGGCGGCTGGGGTTTACTTCATCATTGCGTCTTTGATGATGTTTACGGCGTTTGGAGCGTACACTGGGCATTTTGATCGCGAGTTCCGACTCACAGCTAGCCAGCGGACGCTGATGCTACAGACCATTGCCTTTGTGTGTTATCTCCTCATAGGAGCTCTGATATTTTCTTATGTGGAGAACTGGGCGTTTTTAGACGCGGTCTTCTGGGCTAACTTCACACTGCTTACCATAGGATTCGGCGGAGAGTTTGTGCCAAAAACGCACACGGGCCGCTCTTTGTTGATTCCATACGCCATCGGAGGGCTAGTGACGGTCGGTCTGGTGATTGGATCTATTAGGTCGCTTGTGCTCGAGCATGGAAAGCAAAAGATGACGGCTCGGTTCACGGAAGTCAAGAGACAAAAGGCGCTTGAGTCTATTGATGAGGAAACAAAGACTATACGTGTTTCCCTCTTCGAAAAAGTGAAGTTTTGCTCAAAGGGGCTGAAGGAATCGCAAAGACGTGAGCAAGAGTTTCGCGTTATGCGACGCGTGCAAGAATTGTCTGAAAGGAAGAGAAAGTATACTGCCTTGGCACTGTCAACAGCTGCGGCGTTGATGCTCTGGTTCATGGGAGCTCTAGTGTTCTGGTACTCAGAAGAGCCACAAGGATTCTCCTACTTTGTCTCCCTTTACTACGCATACGTATCGCTTCTGACAATTGGTTACGGAGACTACGTCGTCCAAAGTAATGCCGGCAAAGCCTTCATGGTATTCTGGAGCTTAGTCGCGGTCCCCACCCTTACAATCCTCATTTCCAACATGGGAGACACGGTCATCAAAGCTTTCAAAGACTTCACAATTTGGCTTGGCTCCCTCACTGTCTTACCCGATGAAGAAGGTTTAAGTGCTGCACTCAAAGTCGGATGGACAAGAATCAAGAAGGGCAAGTGGGACAAGAAAGCCTACCAAGACGATTCTGCTAGCGAACACAAGCACTACACCCAAGACCGACTAACGACATACGCCGAAGAAGCAGATTTTGGAGAGAAAGAAGAAGAAGCAAGCCAATACGATGACAATCTCGAATTAGACACTCACTTCTACCACTACGTCCTCGCAAAAGAAATCCGCACCCTCATAAAAGATCTCGAGACAGAGCCATCCAAGCAATACGAATACCACGAATGGGAATATTACTTGCGTCTAATCGGCCAAAGCGAAAGCGACGCTTCGTATCACCGGCGGCCCCACCTCCATACCCACTACGACGACGGCGAAGCCCCCGATATCGGGTCTGCAGGCGATAGCAAGCAGCAGCGCTGGAGCTGGCTTGGCCTCCGTAGTCCGCTCATGGGTAACATGTCTGAGCCGCATTGGCTGCTTCAAAGATTGACTACGACGCTTGAGAGGGCGATGCTTAGGATGAGTCTGGGGGATAGTAAGGCTAAGAGGGCGAGACCGCCTGTTTCATTACAAGAATTGAAGGGCTCGAGTAGGGGGAAGGTGTCGCAGGAGATGAAGGGGAATATGAGGGTTGAGGGGCGGGGGGAGGAGAAGAAGAAGGATTCTGCGTGTTGAGGGGTGGAAAACGATACTTGTATAGACATGCTGGCAGATACATAGTTGTATAAAATTTTAACCGTTCAATCCGGATTGTCATGTGCTACTAAATATATAAAGATAAAGCGGTGTTCGCATGGCCGAGAGAGTAGACTCGTCCTTTGCAAACTACCTACTTTAATCGTCCAAAATCGGCCTTCAGCTCAACATCTCCCTCCTCATCCAGCACTTTGCCTCGATCCCACTCCCTGGCCTCTCCTTTTCCTTTCCAAACCACATCCTCCTCATTCTGTCCTTCTCCTCTCTCCCACTTCCTCACCTGTTCGTCTGTGAATCCCGCAGACTTGAGACGTTCGGCGCCCTGTTGCTTCCAGCGTGCGCGGTCACGCAGCGCCTCTAAGGCATCGCCCCAGTCGTCTTCATTGTCGGAGTCTGCACGGACGTCGACTTTAGGGTCGTAAGTAGACGAGAAACGCGATTCGATACCCATAGATTTTGGTTTGAAAGCGCCGCGGCCTTTGGAGCGTACCGTTGGCTCGGAAGGTGGTGGAAGCGGGCCGACAATGGCTTCGAGAGGGTCGGAGTCAGATGCTGGGGAAGCGGCATGTCTTTTGGAGCTTGGACGGTCTTTTTCCCGATCAGATCTATGTTCGGAGCTTTTTTCGGTGTCTCTAGGAGAGCGTCCTCTATGTTTGCGCTGTTTTTCATGCCGATCGTAGTGTCGAGGTGGTGGTGATCGGGATTGTGAAGTTGTACCAGAGTATGACCTTCGTCTTCTGTGTCTGCGCTCTTCGCGGTCTCTTCTCCGTGACCTCTGGTCATCATCAGAGTCGCTTCCTTTGTGCCTATGAGCCTTGTCGTGAGGTGACCCTGACCGTCTACGTTTCCGCCGAGAAGAATCCCTCTCGTCATCACTGTCGTATCTCCTTTTGTGGCGCTTTTTGTCTCGGTGTCGGT